GCAAAAAAGAAATGCAGCAGCTGTACATCTGAACAACGAATAGAATATTTTCCCACAACCAAATGAACATGATCAACTGTGTCAGCACTGGAGGACGAGTGGAGACTAGAGGCTTCACCGTGCACAGACGCTTCACTTCTACTGTAGCCTGCATGCAAGACGTTCAGGAAAAGTCGGCAAATTGAAGCGCTCCTCACTAAGCAGGTATTTAGCAAGTGATGCATTTTGTGTATTTATTATTTATGTTTTGCCTCCAGGAGACGCTCTGAATGCAGGTGAGGAAGTGGTTCAGTAGCGTTTAAATGCTAAGATTTCTACATCAGCAGGAATGTAGCTCAACATAGAAGTGAAAGCAGGGCTGAGCCAGATGAACGGCATCCAAAGCAAAAATCTATTTTAAATGCCTTTACCAGCGTTACATCATATGAGAAAGGTCGGAAATGGTTTTGCACTCAAAAATAAATAAATCTTCAGTGTAAAAAGTCAGTTCTTAGCTTTTTTATTTTCTATGCAGATGTACCCTCCTACAAAATCACCCTCATTATTCTCGAGTGATTCATTCCTTCCAAACTGAGTCACTCAAGTCATCTAGGTGATAATCTGTATTTTTTTTTTTTCATATAAATCCAGAAAAACTAACCATCACACTGTCAGCTTTTTCCAATATGGTGCCGTTCTACCCAGAAGCCAAGCAGGTTCAGAGCTTCTTGTCCAGAATATGGCAGTTTCTGTTATTTAACAAGATGTGTTCACTTGTGTAGCAGCGCCGGAGAAAAAGTTCTCTCACAAACGATGATAAAACACATGATTAAGCATCCGATGGACCAGACCTGCTTAATCCCAGTTGATCCAACCATTGACTTCTCCCGCTCCGGATGCTGTTGTCAAAGAGTGTAAAAAGCAAACGCGCAAACAAGCCGGATGTGCACCTCAATCAATTCCACAGCTTTCCTTTGCTAATCAAACTATCTGCCAAAAAAGCCCTTTTGGCAGCTACGCTTGGACATCAACCTGACCACTTGATTATGTTTGCAGCCTTTTGAGCCAAACGCCGCTCTAATATTACTGCCTAATGTAGGCCATATGCTGTTTTCCAAGAAGCCAGGGGATACTGTTTCTAAGAGACCTGACAGGCAGCAAGAGACATCTAGAGTCTAAGTCGGCATCCACAACGCAGTGCACCATGATTTGCTCAGACTGTTATCAGCGCGCGGCAGCTCTTTGAAAGATATACAGAGAGGGGAGAGAAAAAAAAAAAGAGAGAGGCAGCTGCTTTACAAAGGCGGTAAACTGTGCAGAATCAGCGCTTCGCGAGTGTTCAAGGTGATCAGCCTGACATTAACAGTTGTCTCTTTTTAATGCATATGCCCTCTACTCACATTAGCCCATGCCTACTGCTCAGTGTGTGTTTCAGCAGAGCAGGGGAGCATTTCCACCGCCGTACAAAGGGACTCGCCGTAGAGCACATTCCTGCGATAATATTGTACAATTACATCAAATGCACTTTTGCACCAAAGAACAGATCCAACTCCAATCTATGCATCTGTGGATAATGATAACAGGCGAAGGCAGTGATTAACTAAATGATGATGCTGACAATGCAAATGCGCTGACTCCTGGCACACATTGAAATCAAAGCCCAGCTCAGTAGTTATTACGGTTGTGCAGGTCATACATAAGTGGCACCTGATGATAGGAGGATGTAGGGGCTCTCTCTCTCTGACTTTCTCAGCACAGACAAACCGGAGAAACACACCACCTCAGCCTTGAGAAGTTCAGTAGTGAGCCTCCTCAAGGTTTTTCTTTTAATCGCAGAGAGCGCTGAAAGAAACAGGAATGTGTACAGCCTGGCTGGATGAACATCAGCACATACATGTGAGGCTTGGATGTGATCAGACACAATCTAAAGCTGTAGTCCCCCTCGGTGACCACTCCCCCCTTTATAGTAATCTACTTTTTCTGGAAGGCTACTCCACAGAAGCTGTACACTTAATTGGGTTACCCTTGTATGCAAGGCATGTGTACTAAACACACATACACAAGCACGGACCATATGACCACGTCCCTGCAGAGAAATGACCTCATTTACTCAAGTTTTTTTTTTCGGCAAGTTTTCATGAATGCTCTTCTGCAGCAACACTGGATTTCTATTTTTTTTTGTGCAGAGATTCGGTGATTCAGTGCTTGAGCTCACTGGGTGCACTTCCAAGAGGCTTATTTCCCCATACGCTGACAAGATATCATGAATTAACATTACTTCCATGCATGACACTAATCTTGTCTTAATTATGCAATTAACTCTGTGTCTTCAAACAGTGCACATTTCAAAAGAGTTCATTGAGGCATTAAAGTATTTTTCTCGCAGCGTGAGCAAAGAGATATTTTTACTGTGCTTGAGTGGCAACGCTGCACTTTGTGATCCTGTGAGAAAGATTTCATTTTTTTATTTTATCTGAGGCTTCCTATGCACATGCACTGAATGTGATGGAAATACTAATTTAGGATCACTTTTCTTCTTTTATTACCTCCTCTGGGTGATAAAAGAGGCAGATAGTAAAGCTGGATGATAGTAGGAAGCCTCCAACATCAGGAAAACACAACAGCAGACTTTGATAAATGTGATTTTTGTTAATTTAAATTAAACTTTAGCAGAGTAAAGCAGCAGCAGTGCTCTCCTGTCATCTCTAATAGAAACTTGGACAACTTAGCTGCTGCATGCTAGTGCTAACAGATGCCTTAAAAAAAGGAGTTAAAGAATAAATAGTCACAACAATCACTGCTGGCTACTTCTGAAGTAGTTAATATACGTAGAAGAAGCCTCGTTTTACTTTTCCATCACTTACCATCCTCCTTTTCGTCGAAAACTGGCCTCTTTGAAGAACTATTGGCTCCCATCCTCTTCTTCCACTTGCCCCAGTGAAACATTGATGCTCAGATTGCATTCCTCGCCTCTTGAAGAGAAACTACAGCTGTGTGTTGGACACCCTCCTCCTCAGAAAACACAGTCACAACAGCCATACATTTCACCCGAACCGTGTCCGTTATTTTCGCTTTAAATATTTTCTCTCCCGTTATTTCTTCTGCCGACACTGTGAGCAGAAAAAAAGTGTGTAGAAAGCGGCGGGGAGCGAGTGCAACGCCCGAACCGACGGACCGGGAGGTGTTCCCAACACACACTGTTGGCTAAGTTTGGAGCTGTAGGCTGAAATAATCACTCGGTGCTGGTTGTGTTCAGTTGTCTTCCGCAGCCAAACCGACAGACTTGGTGTTTCTCGGGGCTGGTAGTAAAAGCTGCGTCAAGACGGACGCGGTGAGACGCTGCAGAACCGGAAGTTGACCAATTTTGTCTTAGGAATAAAAGCTTAGAAATAGAATAGAATAGAATAGAAAAATACTTTATTTATCCCAGTCTGGGAAATTACTGAAAATCTAACTTTATTAAAGGATGGGAGATTTTTAAATGCATGCCTCCATGAAGTCAGATTGATTGCGTATAAACCACACCATAATGCCCTTCCTCACTCCTAATGTATAACCAGTTTAGATTTATTTATTTTTTTTGCTTGTATGACCCTGCTCATTTTTAAACATCACTAAATGTATTTCACACATCTGAGGAAATCAACAGAAATGATTTCAAGGTGCATCGATGTAATATTTTGATTATACAAAATAAGCCTCTGTGTGATTTTAATAAGGATATACAAGCTATTTTAACTGTTAACATAAGATTCATTAAAACGATTGTCTATGGGTTTGAAAAAGAAGAAACAGAAAAAGGTAATATGTAGGAAAATGTGAAAGGGAAGATGATATGAGGTAAGAAGCCCCCCATGAACATCAATGATTTTCAATACTCTACCCTTGCTTCCTGTTAAATTATGCATACCATCACCTAATGCAGTGATAAAATAGCTGACAGGAGTGCAAAATGCATCAGTGTGTCATAAATGACACCTTGGAATAGGGATCGCCTGAATTCCACCAGGTGATAATTCACATATAAATTGTCTTCCATGCAAATGGACAATTTAGTGCATACAAATTCTAGGAAAATGCATTAAATGGAGTATTTGATTATTAAAATTTTTGTATTTAAATGAAAATTATGCCCATGGTAAGTACTCCACACAGCAAGCAAGTTTAAGTATATTTCAAAACACCTTCCAGTGTATTTTTTACTTTTTCTTTACGCTAATCTTATATTGAAAGTGATAACCGGAAGCTGCCCCTTGGCATTCTTCCTGACTTGACACCTGTGATCGTAGTGTGACAGTTGCTGGCCAGTGACTGTGGTCGACGTAGCTCCGTATCACACACTGTCATGCATATGAACACACGGAGAGCAGCCTGTGTAGGTGAAGCCAGCATAGGTCAGTATGAAGTGGTGGTTTTTACAGCGTTTCTCTACCAGCGGAGAACTGCTGCTGCTTTCCTGCAGCCCAAATGAACCTCAGTGCTCTACTCCCCAATCTCATTAGAGGATGGATGGGTGGAGCCGGATCACTGAGGGGGGAGAGGGATTAACACTTTACAATATGCACACTATTTATCCTGCCGCTGCACTGCACAGAATTAAAAATATGTCACATTTGGTGCTTTGTGACCTGACCACGCCCTCTGGACTAAACATTAATTAAATATTAGTTGAAACCTCGCTGCCGCAGTTCGCCCTGTTTGCGCGTGAACTGTTGCCGTAGTTGTGTTGACCTCGTTGCCATGGTTACGATGTCAAACTTGAGAGGCGGTAGGCTAAAGGTTAGCATGATATGTTCCTACTTTTTTTAAAATGTTCTACACTAAGTTATTTTAAGAAGATACCGAGTCACATTTAGGAGTATTTTTTTTACTGACACAGCAGGTAAGCTAATGCAGCGGTGGTACAGCTGGTTATCGGTTAGACCATTGTTAGCTGGCATCAGCAGTTACTACGTGAGCTAACTAGCATTAGCTCCAATATCAACACTGCAAAGTTCCGTGTGGGCTGAAGTAGCTTTTCAACACTAAATATATGAACAGAAATATGATATAAATTAATAGTAAACTTTGTCCATGTGGCACCCTTCAAAAAAAAAGGAGTTTCAAGGTGCTTTACGATAAAATAAACTACAACAATAAACAATAAAGCGTCTATATAACTTTTTTTAAGACAAGAAAACATTAGGAAATGCGATAAAACAATATAGCAAAACACCTTTTTTTTTTTTTAAAGAAAAGCACTGTGAAGTATCAGAAAAGTGGTGGACTTTCAAGTTTTTTACACTGAAGCACTGACTGACCGTTGTGACAGTAACTTGTTCCTCAGTGTTGCAGAATGAGGGGTTACCAATGAGAGCAGAGTCAGACCATGTAGTGATTTAAAAGTATCAGCAGAAGCCTACACTGAGTCCTGTGATGAATGGGGAACCAGTGCAACTCGGCCAGGACTCCAGTAATGTGTTTCCTGAAGTGTTTGTGAGCAGTCCTTCTGCTGAGTTTTGATTAAACTGTAAATGTGCAATTGCTGCATCAATTAGGCAGGTGAGTAATGACCTGCAGTCGACCAGATGGGAGAACATGAGGATAATATTTCAAATTTGTAAAAAGCAGGACTGTACAAGAGTGTTAATGTGTTGATTGAAGTTAAATGTTGGTCAAAAACAAGCTGATGTTATAATAATAATAATAATAGTAATAATAATAATAATATGACCAATACGTAACAGGTATAAACTGAACACATTTTTTTACAACGTTCTGTTCTATAAAAATGTTTCCCAAACCTAGAAAGAAGAAAATATGTTCTTAAGGATTTGGGGGGGTCAAACCTTTGCAGAACAAACAAAATCTTGAGATTGAAATTTGATATTAAATATCCTAAATAGTTTATTTTGTGAAGAAAAAAAATTTTGAACTTGTGTTGTTTTGCTGTTGTTGATTTTTACTGTGAATAAGTACATTCTTTCTGGAGTGACATGTGGAGCTGGCAGCAGTCCAGGGGAATGAAGCTGTCACCCCTGACCGTAAAGACAGTCAGGTTTGGTGTTCTTCTTAAAAATAGGATTTTGGATTTTGTGCTCAGTGCTGTGTTTTGTTGTACATATATGTGCTTATTTTTGGACTGAGCCCTCTTTAAACAAATGGAAGAATGAACTAAAGTGCTTGAAAAAATTACAGAAATTTGACAAGAAAGGTGTTGCTTTCATTACTGGATAGTATTGATGTTATATGAGACCTGTCCAGGGAGTCCCCTGCCTTCACCCTGAGTCAGCTGGGATAGACTCCAGCCCCCCATGACCCCACAGAGGATAAAACCATGTCTAAATAATGGATGGATGGATGTTAATATGAGATAGCCTCTTTCTGTTTGTTTTTATCTGTACATCAATTTGAAACTTTTGAAACATTTTTTTTGTTTGGCTAAAGACAACTGGTGATTAATGAGACTTAAGAAGCAGCACTGTCAGACGAAACCTCTTCGTTCAATATGGCTCTTACACAAACTTTCTTATTTTCATACACAGGAAGAAAAATGCATCTGCCGAAAGACACTTGAACCTCCTGAACAATGGTCTGAGTACACAAGCAAAACATCCCAGCATCACTTCTACAATGACCTCCCCAGAGAAAGAGAAAGAGGTTCCTGATGTGCAGCGACGCTTCGTCTTTGGAAGCAGTGTTACCAAACCACAGCCTCCTTACATTCCGCCGCATGACGATGCTGAGCCACAGGAGCCGGCTGAATGTTATTCAACAGAGACATTATGTCTGAGCAGATCTAATCTCAAACAAGTTCCAGACAGTGTTTTGAAAAATACCACACTAAAGGTCAGTTTGGACTGTACAATTGTTCAACTTCACCCACTCAGTTACATACTGTAAGCTGAAGTGCTTTCAAGCAAATAGAAGTCTGTATCTTGGGCCTAAATTCTTATACTGTAGCATAATGTATTCTTCTGTAATATCTAACTGCTCAGTGTGTCATTTTTAGTATCTAAGTCTTGAAGGCAACCAGATCATCAGTATCCCAGCTTCATTGTTCATCGACTTGCCAAACCTGCAGTGGCTGGACCTCAGAAAAAACCAAATTGTGTCGCTCCCTGCTGAAATTGGCTCACACAGGTAAGCTTTTTAAAAATAAATGTTGACTGATTCCAAATCTCTCGGCCGCCATGGGACTCCAGTATGTTTCTTTGTCAAGTTTCAGGACAAGTTTTGATGTGTCTGTCTATTTTTTGAAGCTATCACTATATGTTGAGGGTCTTAAAATAAATACACAAATATACAAATGTAGAGCTAAGTGTGGCAAGTCAAAGTAAACATAAGCATTTCTGGGTATTTCTACATTATGGCTTTGGTATATCTTGGACAGCCGACTCCAGTGTTCAGTTTGGGATAAAAACCTGCTTGTCAATCAAGGGTAACCCCTTTTAGTTGTCTCATAGTGTGTGATTTTATTCATGTAGGTCTCTGAAAACCCTTCTGCTTGAAGGAAATCCTCTCTCAGAACTGCCACCGGAGCTGGGTGAGTTCAGTTCAGTGACCTCAATCAGTGAGCAATGTCTCACTCTTTAAAACAAAGTTTTTATATCATGAATGTCAATAGGTCTCACAGACACCATATTTAGATCTGAATTACATGTAGAAAGAAATACAGGTTGTTAGTAGTTGATGCAATATGGCTGAAAATCTTTTTTTGCTCCCCTCTTTGCTGATATCACTGCTGCTGTGTTGTTGCTTTCATGTAAATTAATATCAGTAATTAAGAAATACACAGGATGTAAGCTTCTTCCTCATTCAGTGTAAATTAATCAGGATGTGTGTGTCAGCTCATATCCTGATTAATTTATAGCAAGAGTGTATGCTGCTATAAACAATTCATTATTTGCCTTTGTTTTTCAGGGAATTTGATTACCCTCAAAGGTCTGAACTTGAGGGACTGCCCCATCCGTTTTCCTCCACAAGACATCGTGCACCAAGGACTACAGTCCATCCTTCATTACCTGAGGAGTGCTATGGCTAAACGACCAGTTAGCGCAAAGAAGACCCCCGAAGGTGAATAAAAGGCACTAAAAGTTTGAACAACACAGCAGCGTGGTGCATGCACGTGCATCCCAGCCATCTGCTCTTTTTCTCAAAGATAGGACGGCTGGACACAAAAATAGCTCCTTGCCCTGGTACCACTTCACTGGTGTGACTTCTGTTCCCTTGGAGACAGCGCGTGCCACTCAGCTGACTCTTTTTTTCCTTTTTTTTTTTTCCCTTTTGCTCCCCCCCACCGTTCCAGCTCTGTAATATTTTTAGCCAGATGAAAATGATCGATAACCTGTGGGTTCTAAACAGGAGCTCTCTGTCACTAAGCACTGTCTGGAGGTAATCACTGTGAGAAGCCCAAGACAGCCCTCCACAGGAGAGGCTGCTGCTGCACAATGAGCAGAGCCAGAGCCCTCAATCACGCGATCTATCTCCCTGCCTACAAGGTTATTAACAAAGACAGGGCTTCGGTCTTCACAAGGAAATCTCCTTTTATTTAATTGCCACAGAGTATAAGTCTAGCAGACCTGAATATACACCATTCATTTGTTATCAACCTTTATCAGCTGGAATAAGAATGGAATATATAGCCTGTTTGAGTGCAGTTATCCTCCACTGGGCAAAAGTTACTTTCAGCCACTTATTTTATTAATTCAGTACAAACTTGCTGATACCATATTCTCCTCTGCAGTTCATGTAGATGCCTAGAAGGGAATGTTTTACCTGCTGTTATTGTGTGAATTTGCTTACAAATGACTGTATGTAAATCTTTGCTGCATTCGGAGAACAAAAACTCTTTTTCAACCAATTATCATCATGCGCTTCTACCAGCCTCAGTATCAGTAAGCGCCGATGATTGTTGCCAGTGTTTTCTGCCTCCACATCACAGTTGTTGCTGCCATGCCTGTTTCATTGCCAGAGCTGCCAGTGGTGGAGAAGCTCCAGCTGTCAGAGCTGACGGGGTCCAACGTGGAGGAGCAGGATGAAGCCGTGGACAAGGACGAGCTACAGAAGTTCATTGAACTCAAAAATAAACTGATCCTGCTGGACAAAGCCGAGCTGGGTCCAAAGTCGCGACTTCTACCTACCACCAAAAAGTACGTAAAGATGTTTGGATGAAATGAAATACATTGATATTTTGGGATTTATGCTTATTTGCTTTCTTTTGGGGCTGCAAGGTGGCTCGGTGGTTAGCACAATTGCCTCGCAGCAAGAAGGTCACCGGTGCACATCCCGGGGAGGACACCCGGGATCTTTCTGCGTGGAGTTTGCATGTTCTCCTCGTGCAGCGTGGGTTCTCTCCGGATCCTCCGGCTTCCTCCTACAGTCCAATAACATGTTGAGGTTAATTGGTGATTCTAAATTGTCCGTAGGTGGGAATGTGAGTGTACTTGGTTGTCTGTCTCTAGGTGTAGCCCTGTGATAGACTGGTGACCTTTCCAGGGTGTCCTCTGCCTTCGCCTGAAGTCAGCTGGGATGGATGGATGGATGGATGGATGGATGGATGGATGGATGTTTTCTTTTGACGAGTTAGAGAAGAAGATGCCCATCTAGCATCTGTACATTACATTGGAAGCTACAGCCAAGAGACAGTTTAGCCTAACTAACCATCTACCATACCTCTGAAATATTAGCTCTCCACCACCATTACAGCTCACTAATTAACTGATTAAACTAATTCTATCTTGTTTATTTGTTCCAGAATATCTCTTGGCTGAGACCAGTAACTTCCTGCAGTCATAGCTAATCTTGGCCAAGAAATGGTCACGCATAACCTCCTGCAAAAGGACAAATTGTCTTTTCACACCAGAGTTTTTCCTGCTTTGGGGGAAATGTTGGCATCCTCCAGAGAAATCAGTTTTGTTATCAGGGTTTCATTTACTCACACATACCAGACAGTTGTCCGAGGAGCTCCAGCAGAAAGCAACTGGACTTATCTTTTCGGTCCTTAAAGACGTTTCACCTCTCATCCAAGAGGCTTCTTCAGTTTTATTTATCTGATGGGGAGGTCCAGAATTTTATAGTCTCTCCAGTTCACATGGCTACTAGCCCAGTAAGCCATTAGAGCTGGAGTGACTATACAATTCTGAAACTCCCCATCAGTCCGTTAGAACTTAAGAAGCTCTTGAATGAAGGTAAAACATCTTCAAGAACCTAAAAGAGAAGTCCAGCTGCTTTCTATTGAAGCTCCTCGGATTACCATGACCTGAATGCACTGAGAATCTACTCAGACACTAGACAGTTGTGTTCATCAGCTTCTCAAAAATAACAGGAAAATGCATAGATTTCTGTCATATATGCATAAACTAATCATGCTTACTGTCATGTGTATTTACCACTCAAAGGCCCATTTAGTGCCAGGAAAAACCCTTTACACTCCAGTTACATGTTGACTAATGAGCTTCAGAGGTGCTGGCCGGGGGTTTCTTACTGCTGGACATTGCTGGGCGAGCTGTTCCCAGATTTTATTCCACACTAGGCTAATTGGCTGGCGGTCTCCGAATATATAATGGACAAGATAAAACTTTCTGCAGAATCTTAAACTATTTCTTTAAAAAGGAAGAAAACAGCTTGACCACGAAAACTACAAGGTGTCTCATTGCTCCTACTTTTGTTTTTCTACAGGTTTTTCTTTTTTCCAGGTAGCAAATAACTGTTGGCCATAAATCATTTTCACCTGGTCAGATATCTATCGAATGCAGTGAAAGTGTTATCTGCCATCCAGTAGGAGGAAAGAGCAGACCCATTTGTTTTGTTGGACTAGATAACTTCAGCGCTGAAGCCTGAAGTTGTGGTGGAGGGCAGAGTATAAGGCATAGTGCCTCGGAAAATGATGGCAAAACATTTTTTAATGACATTCTCCACAGAAGAGAGCAGGCGATAAAAATCTCCCATGCTGTCTCCGCCGAGGCTCAGAACTCGGAGGAGCAATAAAAATAAAGCATTTTGTCTCAATTTATTTGTCAGAAAAAGGACAACTACCAAGGCCGGCATAATTCCTGAGCTCGCCCTGTCTGACACTCAGCATTGGAGGAGGCCGGAAGAGAGGAGACAGGCTGCAATAAAGGAGCTGAAAGAGAATCAGGCTATCTTCGAGCAGAGAAGAAAGTAAGCTGATTTCAGCCTCAGCACCACGTAGTGTAATACTTTAACCTCTGTGCTGCTGCATGTTAGCCATTAAACCATTTTGGATTAATTGAGCAGAATAATCAGGCCGGGACAGGATGTTGTTTTATAAAGTCAGACTTTATTGTGCCAATTTGACCCAAGTAAACGACGGTCACAGATTAGCATCACTTCTATTATTCAAAGCAAGGAGGGGAAATCAATATTTACAGGCCACCTTGCCATTTTGCAAACAATAACCCAGGAATCATTTTTCTTGGCATAGATTTATGACATGCATTGTGATCCGACTCTCCCGCAGAAACCAAGAGGCTCTTCAGAAGTGGCGTACGCAAGCCAAAATCACGCAGGAGAAGAAAACATCGGAGTACAAAAAAAAGAAGCAGGAAAGACAAAGAAAGCAAGAGGTATGTGTGGGATAAATCACCTAAATTTCTACCTGTCAACCTGCCAACCACCAGGGGGCAGTCGAGCACCACCTCTGTCACATTGGCTGGAGCACTGAAACAATAAATCTGATATTACCATGAGATAAATCATAGTGATGCTAGTGAATGGGTTTCCAGGCAGTAGCACCACCACAGCCAGAGGTGTTGATGAAGCAGCAACAGATTGCAGTTTCTGTGAGGGAGTGATCTGCATCAAGGATAGCACAGCAGCAACACATAGCTATCAATGCTAAGCTATACATGCACACACTGCATATGGATGGTTTTGAGTAATTTGGCTGTGAGCTATATTTGAAAGCATGTAGCTGAAGAGTAATGTTTGCATACAACCAGCAGCGTCAGTGTAAATATACACTGGAAAGGTAGAAGAAGAGGAACAGTGAGGCTGTTGTATTACTGCTTTCCAACCGTGGCTGCAGGCTGTATCTTTGTAGGATGTGTTGCAACAGTTGTGTCATCCTTTATGCAGACAAGCAATCGAAAACAATATACAGTTGTACATGAGAAAAAACACCTCCTCACTCTGTTCCAGGAAGCAAATTCAAAGCCCGATTTGGAGAGCAGCAGTGGCACATCCATCACAGAGTGTGAAGAGGACAGGTAAAGTGGAAGTCTGTGTGACCAAAAAATACAGTCCAAAAAAAGCAGTCCACAACATCCTGAAACCTGAGTCAGAATTAGAACCAGACCTGCTGCACTGACCAGTAAAGTTTGTTTTAGCTTGCCTGACACTGAATATGTATCTCCTCCTTTGTGCTGGGTATTGATTCTCAGAAAGGCATAATGGATTTTACTTTTATTCATCCCATCATAGTGCCTCATAAAAACTGCACGTCACATACTTCCAAGCGTAAAAATACCTTCTGGATATTATTTTGCATGGTTTACAACTGTGAGCTGGGTGAAAGTGAAAAGCTAGAGACACCTAGTGGACAAAGAGACACTGTACATGCATCACAGAGCACCAGCAGTTTCCTTTGTTCTTCTTTGACAACATCATGTCTTTGAAAACACTGATAAACCTGATTAGATAGCACAGCTCCTCCACTGATTGACTAAAAGTAAGACCCGATAATGTAAATGTAAACAATCAGCCACGGATACACCCTGTCCACCATCCATACAGGCTACGATGCCACAGGCCATACCAAAGCATCGAAATATTCAGTCATTTGATTTGAAATTCTGACCTCTGACCTGCGTGGCCCTCCAGATCAGCCCGGCGGCTGGAGCGGCAGATACACGCACGTGTCGTGAAGATACAGGAGGGACGCCGGAATCCCAGGGGCACGGCGACCGAGCAGATGGCAGCGGCAGAGGAGGACATAGAAGAGGTCAAACTTGTAATTCATTATTCACCACTCATGCAGCCCAGCTGTATTGAACTTATTGGTTATTGATCTGATTTTGTTTTTGTTTTTTTTCCCCTCTGCTGACTGACAGATGAGGAAGCTGCAGACGCGGCTTCTAGACAAAAAGAGAAATCAGGGAAGGGATCTCGGAAAATCTATCATGATCTACACTGAAGGCACCTGGCCGAGCTTTCTCGATAAGTGACAGGGATTACCCACCTGCTGTTGAAATGTTTTGATGTTGGATTCATACGAAAAATTCAGTGGAAGACTAATCCCTCATGAATGACCGTTGTAATGCTCATATCATAAAAATAAACATCTCAAGTCTCCTCCTGGGCAAATTCTGTCGCTTGTTTCTTTCTCATTTTCTTTGGACTTCTGCAAGAACCCCTCTTCATTAAACACTCATGTTTGGTAACTTATTAAACTGTATCACCTCTGTATATATAAAATAAATGTGATACTGATGGATAATTACTTATTGTGAAATGAAACTTCAGTTGTCAAAAGTATAACTGGCTCAGCTCCAGGATAAATCTGTCAAGTTATACAAACATTAAACTAACCTTAAAATAAAAGAACATTTATTTGAAATACATGAGAGAAATTGTACGGTAAAGTTAAACTCATCTTTAAAACGATTAAGTCATTTGATTCTCAGCAGGGCACCTTTCAAGTGTATCACCAAAGTTAAAACATTTAAAGGCCATTTTAATGCCAAACATCACATTTAATGCTCTTGTGAAAGTATATCTATTTGTAGTTTGGTGGATGTAAACATTTAGGTGAATACTGAAATACTGCTTTTTTTTTATCTTATTAAATCTGATCATCGCTTACATGTCATTTGATAATGTATTTATATTTGATGACTTCTCCAGTGTAATGTCAGTATATGTTTAAAACACTAACGCCGTTAGACTTCTCGCTGGGAAAAACTGAGGCATTCCTGAGACATAAATCCGTAGCAATGAATGGCATCAAAGCAGGCAGAGAGACAGAGAAAGGGTAGGCCTTGTCTTGGGAGATTTTTTGCTCCTGTAGCACAGAGAGCGTGATGTCAGCGGTGGCAGTACTGTTGTAATTGACTTGGTGGGGGTGATGGCGTCATTTTATGCCCTGGTGTAGCCTCCTGCTCCAATAGCGAAGGGGAGACGGATCTTTGGCCGACGCGACCGTGGCTCCCTTGGCCGGGATCGAGCACCGCCGAGCCGGACAATTCACCCCGGGAAACATGGAGGCTGTGGCCGAGGAGCTGCGGGCCGGCTCTCGGGTACCTGTCACTATCGATCAAGTAGTTAACGATACACTGGTGGTGACGCTGACCTATCGAGAAACGAGCTACACGGGGATATTACTCGATTGCAACAAAAAGTGAGTCGTATTTTCTTCCTTTTCTTCTCGTTTTCTTGTCTAAAATTAATTTGCTAAACTCTGCTAACGGCTAATGTACCTTTGATGCTAAGTCGAAGCTAGCTTGTGAGCTAGCTGTTAGCATACTGGGCCCTCATACAAAAGACTTATAGGTTATTGTAGCTGACAAGGTAGCTATCAGCTAGCTTGCCGGCTAATGGCAAACTGATATCATTTTAGCCCATAATGACATTATGAAATACGTTATTTTATTATGGTGGAAAACTGTCTGTCAAGATAGTTGTCCAGCCTGCAGAGATTGTTAATGACTTGTGTTGAACAATAGCTACTGTCAGTGGGTTCATCTATAGCTTATTGTTAGCCTAATCAAATACAGGGCAGCTAAAACGTATTCAGTAAAAGTGAGTAGGCCTTGACTCAACAGTATTTTGTCTAACAGTTATATTTTGATGCCTTTTATATACATAAAAGTGTGCACTCGTTTTCTGGAGTCATGTCTTACTAATATTGTAGTAAATGTTATTACACCTTTGAGAAATAGCTCTTTTATAACCAGTTACTTCTGATCTGTAGAAACAATGGAAAATGACATTAATGGGATTTGATGAATCACAACTATGATGCTTTTTCTCTAAATCTAGTTTTCATCAGATCTGGTGATTATCTCTGACAAAAAAAAAGACCCTTTCTTGACAGTAAGCACAACACTGTTCAAAGCATGCAGGTATAATTTGACATGTATCATGGCTTATCTGGCCCTCTTGCTGTGTGTCACATGTGTAAGCCTTGTGTAGCTCCTGGTGCTGTGCACCTTAGAAGCCACTGGCTTTACACTATTTATAGACTAGCAGAATCAGAATCTGACCAGCTTTGCCCCTTAGTATGCTTAGATGGTTTTTCATGCAAGAGCCCAAGCTCTCCTGAAAATAACCCACCCAAATGGGAAAAGGCTGGCCTTGGAATAACTTAAAATAGGCCTATATTTCAGGCCTTGTCACTGACAAATTTGACGACTTCTTCCTTTTCAGCTCATGGAAATACATTTCCTATCATTGTCTCCCACGGCCTTATTTATGTCACGGTCTAATCCTATCATTCAGGCAGATCTCCTTCATCTAGTTACACTGTACACAACATGAAATGGCAACAGGGTGGTGGAGTGTGACTGGTCATATTCTGTGTCCTTGTACTGTGCTTAACTAGCACTGTCTGTTCCTGTCACAGGCAGCACTGTTTGTGCCGTGTCAATCACAGTGAAGGCTGATATTCACCAGCTTTAGGGGCGCTTATTTAAAGGTGAGAGGAACAAGCCTCACCAAGAGACTTTGATTCACAGATCCCTGCCAGCTCCTTCTCTTGGGGAGGAAATCAGGCTCCCCAAATGTGCACTAATTAATAATCTCACCACATATAAGCCCCAAGTAGACACGGATGCAAAAACAAACTGAAATCTCCTGGCTCCTTCTCTACATCTCTGAATCCCGAGTGATTCATGGGATTGTTTTTGTTCAGTCAGATGTTGGGGAGGGGGGGATCCTGGGCATCCTGTAGTCTCTTTGTCTGCTGTCTCCTGACTAAAGCAGCACAGCCATGTTACTGTTGCCTGCCAGCCACCTCTCAAAGACTTCTTGGCAGTTTGGCCTTCGCTGGACATGTTGGCTGATCCCAGAGAACGAAAAAGAACACATAAAATCCCTCAGAGAAAGTCGGTGATACTATTGCTCTGCTTTTGTGGCCTAAGGCAGAAGGACAGATAACCTTGGCAAGCTTGGCTGCCTTGCACAGAAGCCCCAACCCCCACACATGAAGAACTTTCAGCATACAGGTGATAGGCAGAGTGGCGTCAGTGTGTCCTGTCCAACTCAAACTAAAAGGGTAAAATAGATTTTTCTACTTAAAGCTTGTAGTGGGCCATTTATAGAAGCGACTGTGAACAGCTTTGGGTGCTCTTTTCTCTTTTGAAACAGCAAGGTATTTGATTTGTGCTCTCCCACTGGCCTCCAGTTATCTGACATGGTGAAATACAAGCATGGCATTACATTGTTGTTCTCTCAGAGGAGATTGCTAAAGTAGGAAATGTTTGTAATGTGTAACATGACTGCCCTGCTTACAAGGCTCAGTGAGATCCATGATTATTAATTGTTGGTTTTCTTTTTCTCTCATTCGTTTCAGGACTGGGCTATTTTGTCTACCAGATTTCACAGCAAAACTCGGGGACTGCCCAGTATCTAAACCGGCTTGTGAAATCCCAGAAGTTCTGAGTGAGGAGCCGGTTCCCACCTCTCCCAGCCAGGCTTCACACAGACCAAAGGATGAAAACACTCTCCCTGAAAGCAGCATACCTACTGCACCTCCACCCTGCCCCGTACCCACACCAGTGCCAGCTGGACAGACTCCTTATCCTCCTTATTTTGAAGGAGCCCCCTTCCCTCAGCCCTTATGGGTGCGCCACACCTACAGCCAATGGGTACCTCAGCCTCCTCCACGACCAATCAAGAGAAAGAAGAGGCGGACGCGAGAGCCTGGCCGTATGACCATGAGTACTATCCGTCTGCGGCCGCGGCAGGTACTATGTGAAAAGTGCAAAAACACACTTAATAGTGACGAGGACAGCAAAGACGGCATGAGCAACACCAAGACTTCTAGAAAAGAGAATGCGCTACAGAGTGACGACGAGGGCGATGACAAGGACTCCTCATCTAAGTTGTCGAGAAAAGAGGATGTAGTTGCATCTAAGGACACTAAAAGGCGGGAAAATGGCCCCAGCCTTGACAGTAAGCGCCTCAGAAAGGACAAAAGGGGTGAGACTGATGGGGAGAAATATCCTGGAGGTGATGTTATCCCCCACAGTCCTGTCATAAAGATCTCCTATAGCACTCCACAGGGCAAGGGGGAGGTCATGAAGATCCCCTCACGAGTCCACGGTTCAGTCAAGCCATTCTGCCCCAAACAACTGGTGCAGAATGGCGTGGGAGAAAATGGCAAGACGCCTTCAGATCCCACCAAGGAACAGCGGCACATTTTAGATGCCACAAGGTCTGGCCTCACTGTGTCCATTCCCAAACTCAAACTAACTAGGCCTTTTGCAACCGTGGGTCAGGACTCAACTTCTCCAAAGATCCGCTTGAGAACCCCTCAAAGAGAGGGTGAGGAAAGCATGGTTGAGTATGAGGCAGAACTTGTTGGGGGCACTAGGAGACGAAGCCCCAGAGCGCCCGGTCCATGTCTCCCCCACTCTGAAGACTCAGGAGAAGGCAAAAACTCTTTGGAGTTGTGGTCAGGGAGTTCTGGGGAGGAGGCTGAGCGCGGCCACAGCGACCTCACGCTTCTCATCAATTTCCGAAAGCGTAAAGCGGATTCTTCCAGCCTGTCGGTCTGCAGCAGCGACAGTCTAGACGAGTCCAAGTCCTTCAGCTCCGACGGCACCTCACCTGAGCTGTGCGACCTGGCACCTGGCGAGGACCTCTCCGTGACCTCGTCTTCTGTACCTTCACGGGACGACTGCAAGACGGTGCCGCCGCTCACGGTGCGGCTTCACACCCGCAGCATGACAAAGTGCGTAACGGAGGAGGGTCACGCTGTGGCGGTGGGTGACATTGTGTGGGGGAAGATCCACGGCTTCCCCTGGTGGCCCGCGCGCGTCCTCAGCATCAGCGGCACGCGCAAACAGGAGACGGCCAGCTGCGAGGCCCAGTGGCCCCAAGCGAAGGTGGCGTGGTTCGGTTCACCCACCACCTCCCAGCTGTCTGTTGCCAAACTGTCGCCCTTCAGGGAGCTCTTCAGGTCCCGCTTCAACCGTAAGAAGAAAGGGATGTACCGGAGAGCCATCCTGGAGGCAGCCAAGGCTGTGGGTCACATGGGCCCGGAGATTACATCGCTGCTATCTCACTGCGACACGTAGGTTAGTCCATAGCAGTTATTGTGTAATTGTTCTCCTTGCTGTTTTCGAGCTCTTACATGGGGCTGGGCTGGTTATTGAAAATGTACTAACAATATAACGTATCGTCTGCATTATTCCAGTAATGTCAAGTGTGTTAAACCTGAAAAGACAACAACAAATCACATCTGAAGTACAAGCAGTCTGTCACTGGCAGGCAGCTTGTGCCACTTTTTTTGTGGGTTTCTTCAAATACTGAAAGTCTAGTCATCAGTGCCCCGACTTGTGGATTTAAGCAGTGTGATTAACCACGAGTGACCAGTCTGACTCGGCGAGAACAAATGTGGGAAAAACTGCAGCACAGAGCCGGTGAAGATGAGTAAGAGCCGGAGAGATGCCATGTTGATCCCGTGGACACACTTCACATGAGACACGATTAGAGCCGCGACAATTAGTCAGTTGACCAGTTCTAGTATGAGCCACAAAATCGAACTAATTTATTAATCTACCAAGAAGCAATAGTCAGCTTTTTAAATGTGACGAATTTGTGATTTTTCTATTTCGATCATTGCAAACTGAATAGTGTGGAGTTTCTTTTTTTCTGTAAGAATTTCTCAGCTCAAGCTTTTCTCAGGTTTGTTCTGGGTGAGGGAGCCCACAACATGCTCGAAAGTGATTTTAATACTTGTTAGTGGATACAGAAGGGTGACAAATTAAAGGAAATAAACAGAACCATTCACCGGCGGCTCTGTTGTGTTGTAGCGGGTGTTTTTCCAGCATGGTTTGGCTCCCTAAAAGGAAGAAAACATATACAGAGTTGTTGTGAGTGATCACCTTTATCCTGTGATGAAACATTTTAATCCTGATGGTAGTGGTCTCTTCCAGGATTATAACACCCCACATCCACAGGGAGCAACTGACTGCTTTGATGAGTATGAAAAGGAATCATAAGTTATGGTCACTAGCAGTAGATTTTGGACTAATTTCTTGTTTGTACAACGCTCTCCACTGTCATCAGAACACCAAATGAGGGAAAATGTTTGAGGAAAATGGTGCTCATCCCTCTGACAGAGTTCCAGGAAGTTGTAGAATCCTTGTAAAGGCACATTGAAGCAGTGAAGCTGCTCTGGCATGTTACTAAAACACTTGACATAGTTTTTCCCGTACATTTGTCACCCGTCTCTGTTTGAAATTCTAACACACAAAACAGTAAATGAAGAAAACAACTAGCAGATTAATTGAGAATGAAAATGTTTTGTAGCTGCAGCCTAAAACAAAACAAATGTAAGAACTTAGACTGACTTTCTTAATCCCAGACGGAAATAAAGTCAGTCTAAGTTCTTATATTTAGATTTGTTTCGTTTTGGGCTGTAGCTACTAAACATTTTCATTCTTAATTAATCTGTTAGTTGTAACTGATGCAAAAATGGCTGCAATGGCTTCTGTTACAAGAGGTTAGGTGGGGTTTTTTTCCCATAAATGAGAGTCAGCCATGTCATCCAACAGGACGACTTTACATCCAAGAAATAGGACGAAGCAGTTTATTACGTAAACATTTGCTAATGCAACTCCATACTCTCTATTTCACCCTTTTTATAATCCTAGTAATCCACTTTTCCGGTCATATTGCCCAACCCTGCCCTCAGATTCGTTTAAAACACGTGATTCGATGATATTCTTGTTAAACTTTAAGGACACGAGAAACCGAGTGAAAAGGATTCTGAGCCGACCTGCTCATTAAACAAACAGCGTCAGTTGTGCTGTGCCAGCCTCAGGAGTTCTGCTGCACTCATGTCATGAAACAGGTGCTGTGTTCAAAGCTGCAAAACAAACATTAATACCGGCTTTAATGAAGGCACAGGCTGTACTGCTGACTGTCAACAGGAATAGCCTGTTAAAACTGCTCATTTCAGCAAGAGGCTCGCGCCGAACACACAGCGCTGCTTACACAATGAAAGCAATTTGAGCGCATGAACATACGTTTTCAGTTACAGAAACACGTCGTCGTGCCGCGGCTCTGCTCGAACTCATTCTGCAGGTTTGCGGCTGCGTTGACCCTGGGCAGCCCAGCAGCAGGTCTTCCACAGAAAAAGGTTAAATATTGTCTTTGAGTGATAGAAAGGGGCAGACAGGCATTTTCCAACCCTTGTGTTTACCCTGTTATGGGCTTAGCGGCCAAAAAGGAGGCTGGTCGGAGCCGAGACTAAACAGTAAGGGGTTAAGCCTGTGTTTGGTGCTTTTTCCAGACCTCATAAAGGAAGCGCTTTTCTTGCTCTGTCAGCTCCACGGCTGGAAAGTAGCTGACGTTGGCTTCACACTGCTCCATAATCTTCAGATGACTAACATGACATGTTGAGAACATCTCCCCCACTTGTACTCTCAGTGAAGAAATTCCCTGCGCTGGATATATGACCTGCCTTGTTTGCTCATTGTCTTTACTTTGTGCTCTTTCTTCTCCCCCTTCTTCTTCTTCTTCTTCTTCTTCTTCTCTTTCTATTTTGTGTAGAGGCTGAGGACTGAAGAGAGGTCTCCGAGGTTTTTCTGAATTCTCAGACTCTGTCATCAAGACCCAGGAGGGAGTACGTGCGGTTGCCACGGCTACTATTTATATGCCGTTTTTTTTTTTTT